TGTTGGGCCAATATCCTAAATAATTGACCTGCTTGGGGTATTGGGCCAAAAAAGCCGAAAATTATACCTAATAACAAATAAGTAAACTGATGGAGCTAACGGGCCCTTGGGTATCGATTAACAGTAACACAGGGAAGAAATAAAGGCCGAAGAGGTCCAATTGGTGGTATATGAAAGTAGGGAAAATTGAGCGACTGTCGTTTGTTGAATGTGTAACCAAACAGGGAAGAAGGGGAAGGAGATTTGAGCTTATTCCGGATTAGGGTTAACTTTTCACCCTCCCGCTATCACCGTCTCTGGTTTTCTTTTAGGCGCCAAACCACGCATTGCTCCTTTTCCTCAGGGTACAATTTTTTTATTTTTTATGGGTTCCATTGCTTTTTTGTCAAAGGGAATTCTTTTCGAGTATTTGGAAATATTCTCTGTTATGTGTTTTGAAGGATTGAAATTCTAAGACGCTTTTGATTTCAGCTCTTTTCCTTCAAATTATGCTTTTGTACTGAACTTTTGAGTTGATAACGTTGGGGCCTGTCTCTGGTTTATGACATTGATTCACTGAAACAGAATGTTTTCTCACTTTTTGTTTTGAGTGCAATACTTATGTATAAATTTGCCTTTTTTATTTGCTTGAAAAATGTGCTGCAGGAATATAAAGAGATGGGTAGCCAAGCCCCTGCAACTAATGATCGTACGAGGACATACTGGACACCTAAAATGGAGCGGTATTTCATTGATCTTATTCTGGAACAGATGCATACAGGGAATAGAGTTGGCCACACATTCAGCAAACAAGCCTGGACTGACATGCTTACCATCTTCAATGCTAAATTCGGATCTCAGTACGACAAAGATGTCTTAAAAAGTCGTTATACAAACTTGTGGAAGCAATTCAATGATGTTAAGAATCTTCTTGGTCAGAATGGGTTTTCTTGGGATGAATCTCAACAAATGGTGGTGGCTGATGATTATGTCTGGAATGCCTACATCAAGGTGCAGCCCCATTGCTGTTCACTTGTACCTGAGAATTGTATGAATTCGTTATATTAAAATATTTCAAGATGCATGCAGGCTTACCCGGATGCTCAATCCTACAAGACGAAAACAGTGTTGAATTTCAACGATTTGTGCTTGATATATGGGTATGCAGCTGCTGATGGAAGATACAGTCGGTCTAGTCATGATTTGGACTTTGATGATGAAGTCCAAGGGTTAAATATGGGTGTGTATCAGTTTTATATGATAAACCTCTATAATGATTGTAGATAAGATTTCAACTGAAAAGCATGTGATTCATATTATAGGCCACTTTTTGTGCTGGATACCTTGGTTAATGCTTCTTTTCTATCATATGAGAGAAGAATGGGGAAATAAATTAAGAAAATTGAAGTGAGTTTACTTCAGTCACAGTTCCTAGAACATTTGTTCAGGGGTAAATGATCCCAAGTCATTGTTGTCCCAACATTCAACAGTTGACTCTACAGTTTGTTTCCCATTTTTACCTTCAAAAATCACTTATGAATACTTTGATGGTAAATTGATCTCTTTGCATACAAGTGACTTGGTTGTGGAAAAAAGGAAAAACTGAATCTGTAGTTTTACTGCACTCTTCGTTTTTATTAAATTTTTTTATATGAATGGGTTTATATGCTAATGTAAGATATGGATGGATTCATATTCTGATGATACATATACGCTTTCACTTGCGTGTGCCCCAACTTTTAGGTGATGCAATGGGTAGTTTCCCCTCCACCAATAATGATCGTCCGAGAACTGAATGGAATGCAGACATGGATCAATATTTTATTGAGCTTATGCTTGACCAAGTAGGAAGAGGCAATAAGGTTGATAATACATTCAGTAAACAAGCATGGACAGACATGCTTGCTTTATTCAATGCAAAATTTGGTCATCAACATGGCAAGAGGGTTTTGAGACATAGATACAAGAAACTGTGGAAGTACTACAGTGATGTGAAAGCTATTCTAAAACATAATAGCTTTACCTGGGATGAAACACTGCTAATGGTTACAGCCGATAATGATGTTTGGGATGCTTATATAAAGGTACGAGTTTCTGCAGATGTTTTCATTAATCTCATTAGCACACTACCTTCATGCATATGATATATTAATGATTATGCTTAACGACAGGCACATCCTCATGCTCGAACATATAAAATGAAAACCCTTCCGAACTACAACGATTTGCGCCTAATATACGGTGAAGCAATTGATGAAGGAAGTCCTGATAAATTGGCCCAGGAATGTGACATCTCCAGTACAAAGGCTGGTGAGTTCCAAATTTCTAACAGAAACAAATTCACAATGCTTCTGATGTTCTCTATATATTATACAGAATGGCAGCTAGAGTCTGCTAGGGGAGTGATAATGTTGTCAACTGGATACAAGAGAAGCTCATCAACATATTAGTTGCATTATTTTCAATCAAGTTTTAAGTTCACATGTATCATTTCATCTTGAAGGTGGATTAATTTTGTTCTCTCTTTTTTCTGGTCCACCAGATTGAGAAACTGAAGTTATAAAATTAGTGGTACAATGCATTAGAGACATGTGACTTTGTGATTTCCAGTATATTTCTTACATAAAATCTTAAGGTTGTTTTATGTTCTCTTTCTCTCTTTCTCTCTCTAATCTTATGGTCGCTGTTATCTCCTAAGGTTGATCTTCTTAATTTGCAGGTGATAGGAAAGGAAATGTGACTAGTGATCGTACAAGAACATTTTGGACTCCACCAATGGATCGATATCTCATTGATTTGTTGTTAGACCAGGTCCATAGAGGAAATAAACTTGGACAGACATTCTTAACACAGGCTTGGGTTGACATGGTTACATTGTTCAATGTCAAATTTGGTTCTCACTATGATAAGGATGTTCTTAAGAACCGACACAAACATTTCAGGAGACTGTACAACAACATAAAGATTCTGCTTGAGCAAAGTGGATTCTCATGGGATGAAGCAAAGGATATGGTAACAGCAGAAGACTGTGTTTGGAATGCCTATATCAAGGTGATTTCTTTTCTTTTCTTTTCTTGATGCTGATAGAGTATTTGTTCTGTTTCTTACATAAAATACATGCAGTCACATCCAGATTCTCGATCATACAGAGTTAAAACTGTGCCAAGCTATCCCAAATTGCATGTAATATTTGGACAAGAAAATTTTCATGGCAGATATAACAGATTGACTCAAAATGTAGGCACTGATGACGATGTAACTGTTTTAATGAGCTATAATGGTACGTAACATCTGTTATCTCGTGTTGTTTTTTAATTGTTGGTTAGGTTTTTCCTTTTTACTAAGTTAGGTGGTAGCTTATTTTCTAACACAGATAGTAGCCCAGTATGGTTTGAAAAGATGACAAGGATGGAATGCTGTAAGAATTGTTCTAATTGTTCTTTACTGAAGCATTAATGCATGTTTTAAATATTCATGATCTCTTAACATGCAGGTAATGAGAGAAATGACCATTTACCCAATGGTATTCATCATATTGAATTTGAGTGGACAGCCCCAATGGACCGTTTTTTTATGGACCTTCTGTTACAACAGGTTCTGGATGGGAATAAGATAAATCAGGTGTTCAATGATCAAGCATGGGTGCATATGGTTGAATCGTTCAATGAAAAATTCGGGCTTCAATTGGACAAGAACGTATTAGAAAACCAGTACATCTGCTTGATGAAACAGTACAATGATATTAGTGATATTATTGATCATACTGGGTTTATTTGGGATGAAGAAAAGCGAATGGTTGTGGCAAAAAATGACAATTGGGAAGTATACATGAAGGTGTGTTCATTACTCTTTTGGTTTTATCACTTAAGCAATAACACTCCTATTCATATTCCAATCCTTCCATGACATCATGTTCCGGGGAGATATACATGAAGGTATTTGTATGCTCGTTTTTAGTGTCGCCAATAGCATGTTTTTACATGCAAGTTTTTGCAGGAACACCCAGATGCAGTTTATTACAGGGATAAAGTCTTGGGCAGTTACAGTGATTTGTGCAAGATTTTCAGGGAAGAAGTATTAGATGAAATACCCTCTGATCAGATTCTAGGTGTGGAAACCGATTGTTGCGCCTCATATACTATTTTTGATAGAGAATGTGGAAACTTACAAACTCAAGGTGGTGATATCAATTTATCTGATCAACAAAGAAAGCGACCAACTACAACACCAGACACAGAACGAGCAAGCAAGGCACAAAAAACTGAGCAGGAGATGCAGAAGATGTTGTCCAAGATGACCGGTGCAGTCACAAGATTAGCAAATACGAATGCAAATAAGAACTATTCAACAGTAGAAAATGCAGTTGATGCACTTCAAGCCCTTCCCGACATGGATGATGAACTTTTGTCGGATGCCTGTGATCTATTGGAAGATGAGAGAAAAGCAAAAACATTTTTGGCATTGGACGTTACATTACGAAAAAAGTGGGTTCTTAGAAAACTTCGGTCATAGTAGCAGCCTTTGATATGTTTAAATTTTGAGAATATTTACATTTCCTTTTACGCTTCCTCGACTGGTATAGGCTCTTTTATATTCCATTTCCTGTTGGCACAGTTTTTAGAATCTGATCCCAGAATTTTTTAGCATATGGAATGAAAACGTAATGATTTATGGGATTAGTTTTCCCCCTCAAAGCTGGTAGTATCATCTTATATTAACTTTGTTGCAATATTGGTTCAACGAGAACCAGATTTCCATAGAGCGGTACATGAGATATGCTACTCCTTTTTCCTTTTTGGACAATTGAGGACGGGAATAAAGATGTTCGAGATTGAACTCAAGCTTTCATGCAACCACAACACAGCATCTTGTCTTTGGACCAAGAGATTGCTGGCAAGAAATGCCACTCTTAAAAGCTCATTCTTCACCTTATCCATTCCTAGTAATTAGTAGTATTTTCAGGGAACAATGGAAAAATGAAATTCAAACAAAAAATGAGTTAATTCTTCAAATAAAAAAACCTCCAGTTTTACTATACAAAATGACATCCATGAGTGCCCCTAATGATCAGTCTCCATTGCCGATTGGTTGGAAGAGCTAGACTTCATCTCTCATTCTTTGGGACAAGTTCCAAGCCCTCATCATCTGATTTGACAGTTGAATTCTTTGTCAAAATATCTGGAGGAATCAAAGCATCTGATTGTTCAAGCCTTGGGACAAGAAAAATCAAACCCAGAGTTGCAAATCGCAGGATGTTTCTGATGAGAACAACCAACCATAGGTTTGTAAAATCTGTCCTAGTGACATGAAAAACTTGAAGAGTCATTCCTCCACCCCATTTGGCGGTCAAGGAACCAAGGGTGTCAATGCACATTAACAATGCAAAAAATGTGCCTTCAATGCCTATAGGGCAAAGCCTTGTGCTTAACACCATCATGGGAATCCACCTTATTCTGCTTATAATTCGCGACAAACATTCTTCTGTGATAACGAAGAAGTAATCTGGAATTCCAAGCACTAAGTTCCATCGAAGAATGAAGAGCAGATCGAGCATTCCGGATGTGCCATATAAGAGCTGAGCGAAAAAGAGTAGGTTTCTGAATTGAACGTCTTTGAGTGTCTTGTGATATATCAGGACCCCAACCATTGAAGCCATTGCACCAATTGCATATATGATCCCAACAAATTCCTACTCATCATAACATACCATCAGTCGTAAGAAGTGTGAAAGGGTTTATTATAGTTGAGCAGTGTATTTTTTTAGCTGGTGTGATGAGAAACCTGAGAAAATGCAGGACCAGCTTTAGGATCAGTGTACCAATAAAACAGCCCTTCATGAGTACTGATACTGAGAGCCAAAGAGACGTACATGTAGAGCGATGGTTTCCACACCTGGGGGAACTTGATTGTCTGATACATCCCCCTTACGGCCACCCCTAATTTTTCCATTTTCTGCACAAGCATCGACAGGGATAGCCGTATAGATAATCAAAAATGGTGAAATATATAAGCATTCAAATGTTTTACCAACAAGGAGAGAATTATCTGGAAAAATAGGAAATCTAACCTTCTGCTTCTCAGAATGAAGGCTGGAAGATTTCATTTCATAAATCACAAATCCCAACACTGTGATAAAAACTGGGGGGATTGCCAAAAGAATTAATGCTCCCTGCAATAACCATTCATGTTTACAGGGTTTTAACTACATTGGTTTCACTAAACATAATCAAAAGTCGAATTTATGATTTTCAACACTAGTAAAACTAACAATATCTAAGGCCAAATCTAATGTTTATGTCCAGTTTCTCAATCTTCAGCCACCTATATTCAGTCCCAATTTAATAAAAACAAAAAAGAAGAAAACCTGAGGTCCGAGATGGTGAACAAAATATCCACTAGTGGAGTAACCAATTAAAGCCCCGGCAGAGGAGCAAAATCCACAAAGGCTCTGCATATCCGGAGCCAACGATCGGACTTCGATACTTTTCCTTGCAATACAAGCATCAATCGTGACATCTGCTATAGCCATACCTGCTGCAGCCCCAGTCAAGAAAATCAGTGCCAAAGAAGCAGGCAAGTTACCAATAAGAGCAACCATCAATGCCGATGCACACCCAAGAATACCAGCGACCACAAAATACGGTCTTCGTCTATATCCTCTTATCGGAAAAACATCGGTGAGTAAACCCCAGACAGGTTTCATAACCCATGGAATATGGTATAAACCAATGTATAATTGAACCACAGAGGGCTGGACTTTTTGAACATCTTTCCAATAGTAATCCGTTACCACTTTGAAGAAAGACCCGGCGAAGCCATGATTGACGCCGTAAACTGTAACTATCCCAATGACGAAAGTTGGATTCAGCTGAGAAGAAAGGGTCTGTATCCATTGAATTGGCCCGAGGAAGACCGAGAAAAAAATATTGCTTTTCTTGCAGATTTCAGCTGAATGAAGGTTGGTCTGTTTTGAAAACGTAGTGGAGAGAGGTCCTTCAGTGAGTCCCTCTTCCTCCGAGGAACCCATGTTTGAGGTTTAGAAGAACATGGATCTGGAAATGGCGCTCTGGGTTTGATTTTAGAGAACAAAGAAACGTTGACCGCGAGATCTTCATATACATCTACGACCTTCCCCAGATGTATTCACCTTAATATAATATTATAGCTTAATCTGAATATAATATTGCAGTCAATTAAACTAGTAGTGTAATTGACAAAAGATTAGGTTGAAATGAAGTCTCGATCCTATTGCAATTTGACTTTTATTACATCTTTTTCCTTTTTGTTTCGGGTAATATTCTTCAATTTTTTTCTCATAAAGTAAATAATATTAAATGCTAAAATATATTTGATTTCATATTTTTATATATATTAAATATAAAACATATTAATTCAATTCAATTAATATCAAAAAGTAACTTTAAAAAACCCTTAGATTCAAACATTTCTTCGATAAATACTCTTTTGTGTACTTGTCCACAGTTGTTGGACTTGCTGTGTAAGTTATGCACATGGTTTTTAAAATCAGACCTAGTGAACCGGTCCTATTATCGGTTTATTGGTTCAATCGATCGAATCGGTCTGATCGGTCAGAAGAACTGGACGACGTTATAATTATTTAAAAAATTAAATAAAAATACCAAAAATATTTAATAAAAATAATTTTTTATATTATAAGTCATATTCAAAGCAAGTCATAACATATATAAGTTAAAAATTATAAAATCAATTGAAACAAAATAATTCAAATTAACTACAGCATAATATTTAAGGTAAAACATATTAAATAATAAATATAATTATATAACTATAATTAAAAAATAAATTTGGGGTTAAAAAATCATAACAAAATGATATTGTTTGGTTTAATTTTTTTAAAAAAACAATCTCACATGACTAAGAAACATAAAAGAGCATCCCAAAAGTCTAAAGAGTAAAAATATGAGAACAAAACAATCCTACATGGCTAAGAAACATAAAAGAGCATCCCAACTAACTTCTATAAATAATAGAGGTAATTTGGCATTCAAAATCATGGAGCCTTTTGGTGAGCATTGAGTAAATTATTATTTCACTTCAATCAAGCTCGAATTTTAGGCTTCAATAGGGCTTCTAAAATTTTTTTGAGTTCAAGCCTTTTCGAGTTCAAGTTTCAATATTATATTTCGAGTTCGAGTTGAACTTGATAATTTTTAGCTCGTGAGTTTGAGTCGAGTTGAGCTTACTTTTAAAGTTTTCAAGTTCGAGTCGAGCTCAGCAATACTCGAGTTCGACTTGGCTCGTTTAACAAATGACGTCGTTTTGTTTAATTAAAAAATGGCATTTTTTTCGATTTTTAGCCGGTTCGGATCAAACGGTTCCGGCCGGTTCACTAGTAGCGATCCAACCGGTGTAGATTGAATCGGACTAGGCAACGATTCCCGATTGAACCGATCGATCCGGTCCGATTTTCAAAACACTAATTATGCATTGTACCAAGACTGTATTAATGTTGAAATAATGGTATAGTCCTGGAATAACCCACATCAATCATAGTGTTTATCGAGCGAGTCGATCCGAGTTGGGCAGTGCTCAACTCGTACTTGTTAAAATATTTTATTGCTCGACTCGTGCTCGTTAAAATAATTTGTTGCTTAACTCGACTCGTTCCTAGTTAAACTCACTAAAAAATTCACCTTATTTTTTTAACTAAATTTTTTTTTACTAATATTATATAAGGATATTAGGGTTGGGTTTTTTTGTATTAAACTAATATTATTAATTAATAATATTTTATTATTTATTAAAAATAATAGATTAGTTAACTTATTATTTTTTATTATTTATTAATAAATTAATAATTATTATTTAGATTTATTTTTTTGAATAAAATAATTTTGAAGTAAATAATAAAAATATATTTTAAAAAAATTAACGAGTTGTTCGTGAATTTATCGAGTCGAATTAGAGTCTGAGTCGAGCCAACTTGAGCCGAACGTTTTAACCGAGTCGAATTCGAACTGCTCAACTCGTTAAGCATTCGTATATACAATATATGCCATTGGTTGAGACAGAACCGGTGCAACTTGGTCTATTAAAATCGTCAACTTGAGTGAATTTAATTATCGAACACGTCAAACGTGTTTGTTCTTGATTTGTCTTCGTTAACTATACCAAGAATAATAAGTTATGACAAAATGAACACAAAATATATTTAATAAATGGAATCTCCTTCAAGAAGTTTAGATTATTTATGACCTTTATCACTCTAATTTAAGTTATAAAATTTTAAAAGTTATATTTTAATTTGTTAGAATTAAATTCTTATATTTTATAAGAATTGAAAAAATAAGCTGATAAAATAATACTATTAAATCTTCTCGTTAAATTATTTATTTTAAAACTAATAGTTTGACAGTCTATATAAAAAGAGTCGATACAAATTAATAATGCAACAATTTTTAAGTGACAAATTAATAATGCAACAATTTTTTAAGTGACAAATTAACAATTTATCAAAAAAAGGTAACAAATTAACAAAGATCAATTGTTTAATAATGTATACATGAGAAATCTAGCAAATAGATTTTTCAAAAAGACAAAAACTACATTTCAATCTTCATGAAATAAAAGGATGAAATTAAAAATTACATTTTTTTATTAAGTTAAGGTGGTTATAAAATAATATATATTTTTAATATTTTTAATAATTTGACAACAAACGTTCAATCATCCCTAGTGTTTAAGTCATCACCCTCACAGTACATAGATGTTATGTCATCGAGCTACTAACGAAGAAGTGGCATGTCATCGAGCTACTAATGAAGAAGTGGCATATTTGTTGTTAAAGTACATAAAGATAAATTACACGTTTACTCATTAAATTTTTCTCTCTTTCTTCGTACTTTCAATTTTTTCAATTTACTCACTCAATTTTATACATTGAATTTTTTTAATCACTCGATCGTTTTCTCAATTACACCGTGATGATGTGGCTTATTTTAATATTTTTCCAGACATTTAAAATAAAAGCTGTTTTTGCTTCAATCTTATTGTGTCCTCCACATATATAGTCAACTCCCCAATGAGAGCTAGAACAACCAACTCCCCAATGAGAGCTAGAACAACCAACAACAAAGCAATCACCTCAAATCTGATTCGCCATGCAAGGACCTTATATCTTCACTTCCGGTCGAGAAAGGTTGGGTTAATCACCTCTATCAGTATCAAGTTTTTTGGATCGATCCTCAAAAGCTGCAAGACGTGCTCACTTGCCAACGCCACTTTCAAGCTCGGGAAACAGATATCTTCCTTGTTACCAATCCCAAATCGGGAACCACATGGTTCAAGGTTATTGTTTTTTGCCTTGATGAACCGGTTCCAATATCCATTCACCGATGACAATCACCCTTTGCTCTCGAAGAATCCTCACGTTCTTGTTTCATTCCTCCTGGCCGAGTTTCACGTACGTCGATGGTTCAGTTTCTATTTCACCGACTCTACATCTCCAAGAATAACTGCTACTCACTCACCCACTTATTATTCCTGGACTCTGTAAAGAATTCGCCTTGCAGGCTTGTGTATTTATGTAGGAATCCAAATGGCCAACTGATACTTTCGTCTCGCTTTGGCACTTCAAACAAGCTAAAAGAACAAATACTGAAACACAAAGTAAAGGTGCAGTTGCAGGTGGGGGAATTGGATTTGAACTTGTCCAAGGTGGTGTAGGTTTTTGCTGCCCCAAGAGCACTTCATTTGCTTGCGACATAAAAATGATTGAGTGTTCCCATCTGGATAGTCAAAAGTCAAAACAGCCTCGACATGTGCTTTGTATCTAACAAAGCCAACATCTTTTTCATGCATGGAAGTAACTATTTATAATTTTTAAAAAATAACATAAAAAGTCAAGAAAATCACAACCATTGAATGTTGCTGTGTAGCATTCATCATCAACCCAATGCCAACAGCAATGGATGAACCATAATCTGGTACAAGGTTGGTTTTCGCCTTATCGCTTGGTATGTTTTTTATGATTATTTTGCTTAATCTGTGTCATGTAGATTTGGAAAATATATTTGCACGTGGATTTTGAGAGTTCTGGTTGATCAACCCACTGGTTCTTTTAATCTTCTTATATGGTTTATTGTTCTGTGATTGGAATGTTGACTATAATATTAGGTTTGAGATATTTATTGATGTATTTGATTGATAAATTAAAAAGTCAGCAAAAGAAAGATTATGGAGAATGGGCTTGTTTTGCTTTTTGCGTTTATGAATATGTCAATGGTGCAATTTAAGCTTTGAATGGTTTATATATGAGGAGGTGCTAAGATGTCTGGGTGATAGAGAAACTGTTGTTGGAGGAGAGCTTGTTGCATAACGCCAAAATGACCATAGACTGGTCAAAATGAATGTAAAGAACAGAGGGTTTAACGTCATGTCATAACGCCGTTATAAAATTAACGATAGAGTGATAAAAAAATTTAATGTCTAAAGCTTAGTAAGTAAATTACAAAAAAATTGAAAATACAGCAGGTAAAATATGAAAGAGAGTAAAATTTAATGAGCAAGCATGTAATTTACCCATGTACATAAATGTCAATATTAAAATTGATAAAATTAAAAGAACAGTAATATAGATGAGCCCGAGTTTAAAGGTGAGTGATATTTAACGTAATTTACCCTTATTTAATATCACTAAAATTTTTCGTCATGATTACTATTTAAATAAAAAATAAAAACATATTATACTAAATTACTAAAATAATATTTCTACTACTAACACATCAAATAATCATCCATATATACATATAATTATTCTAACGAATATGGACCCCAAAATTACAATTGCAGACCCATTAACAGTACAAACTTAATCGGCAATTTACGAATTAAAATTGCAATAATAATAATAAAACATAAAGAACATTTGGACCAGCATTGTTTTCATGGTGTAGTAGTTTGAATCCAGCGCCCTGGGTTCGACTCCCTTGGGACCTTTTTGATTTTTAATATGAAAAAGATAAAGTAAAAAATATATATCAAAGTTGAACTAAAAGTTCACTCAACTATTTTTCTAAAACCAAACAAATTAAAATTATTATAGTTTATGGTTTATCTAAAGTTCTGAT